AGTCGTATATTCACCTAGTTTCCTGAAGCCTCACTTTGGGGATGTTGTTAGCCCAGGCATGCCCATGAGCTCAGCAAAACTAGCAAGAGCTCCTTAGTGAGTGGGATGCATTTCTGAAACCCTTCCAGTAACTTTCTGTCTTATCTACCTCAAATGAGCACGCCCATGGCAACAGTTGTGGATTCTTCTCAATCCAGAGACATCTGCTCACACACCTTCTGAGATTTGTTTCTATGAGTACTTTTTTAAAAGGGAAGAATTATGGAAAGCACAGGATGGTAAATCTTGATGATTTGTTCCAGCAAATTTCCCATCTCAAGGGTCAGATAGTTATCCAACATGTATGGAGGCACATGCTTCCATACTTAACAGATCTATTTAACATGCTACTGCTTAACAGATCACAAAAACGTAGAGTTCAATGGCCTAGGAAGACACATCCCTGTGTGTTGGATTTTCCAGCACTAATTGCGGGGGATCAACATTTTCTTGCAAAATACCAAGTTTGGGATTGCAGTTACCTCTGTAATAGTCAGCTATGAGGGACCCATACTAGGATCCAAAATAACCCAACTATGGACAAATCTGCTTCCCAGTTATATGATGCCTCTGGCAGAACAGTTTACTTTTAGCTTATCCAAGTCCAACTTTTGGAAAACTTCAATTGCCTGCATTTCTCATTTCAGCCAGGGGAGGGCAACTGGTCATCAGGAAACTAAGATCAGTTTACTAAAGCTGCCATGAACTTCGAAGTCCTAAACCACAGAATATGAAAAATATTTTAGTCCTGAAAACACACCTTTTGATAAACATGTCTTTCCTTAATATAAATTAAAATAATCCCCTCTTACACCACAAGCCTCAGCATGCACTGCACTTTTATGGCTGTTCACTCTAACCATTATTTTTTCTATATAATTAATCTGATACTAAATCACAGCTTGGGACAAATAAAAAAGGATTCCACTTACAGTGACATGAACACACTTCAAATTAGACTCGAAATTTTAGATTGTGCTTTGCATTCTTTCTATTTTATACTGTGCTATCAAACACACACTAACCATGAACTCTATGTTGTTTGGTCATTTTGTTTTTAACTTGGAGTTTAAACAGAAACACACTCCACCCTCCCCCTCAGCAATTCTTTGCTCTATTTTTGAAGTCTCTTCTCCTTGTCAAAGCAACCTTGAAAGAACTTTTTTTTTTTTTTAAGTTAGGCAGTTTGTACTGATTATTACAGTCCTTGTCACTGTATCACCTGGGCCACTCAATGTTTTGGCCCTATCAGGAAAGAAATCCTTCCTCTCTTAGAGTCACAGTAATGTGAGGCCAATTAAAAGACTTTTTAAGGGAAATAGATATGCAAACACTAGAAATCCACGTGTCTTCCTGTTTCTCTGTTCCCCCTAATGCCAAAGACTAATTTCCTCTTTCTGGTGTATGTGGTACAGCACAGCAATCTGTGCCAGCTGCAACTCAAACCCTTTATTCTCAGAGATCCTCTGAGACTAAAGAAAAGAAGTTTGGTACCTTCCACTCTGCAGCCTGCAGTCAAACAACCCTGAGACCTTTCGTCCCAGCTTCAGAGAGATAAGAAGAGCTGCCTATACATAAAATGGTGGCAAGTTTCTTGCTTGCATCCAGCTGTCCCAGGATGGCCCCTACCCAGCCAGACATGGGTCTACTGCAGAGAAGGAGGGGCTGTAGCTCCCTCCATCATTAGCAGCCACCTAGAATTAGCAGCCACCCATGCCATATTTGTGTTTTTCATTGCAAAGCAATGGGGACTGTGCAGCTTCTCACAACCCTGGGCAAGGCTGCAAGCAGCCACAAAAGCACAGCCAGTGAGCTCCGTGCAGAGCATTAGTATTCCCTTGTGCCTGAGGAAACAGACCTTGTGTACAAATGAATCAGAACCTGTATGAAGCTGCATCCCAGGGACTTGGACTCCAGTGCAGACTTCCCTTGTTTACCCACAGAATAGGCCATGACTTGATTTGGTACAGAGATTAATTCCTCCTAAAAAGAAAGTATTCATTTGACAGGGAATGGTTGTTGTGTTTGAAATGAAGATGGCCCAAGGCAAAAACAGATTGCTTGGCTCAATGACCCATTGGCTGGTCTCTGGCTGCCTTTGAAATGGTATTCAGTTTTCAGCCTTACATGCCACATAATGGTGGGTTTCTCCAGCCTGGGTGTTTTCTTACAAGCACTTTTGTCTAATCACTAGCTGAGAATCCAGCCTGATGTGTACATTGTAAAAGATGCTGTTTATACTTGGGCTTTTAGTCTGCCATCTGTGCACAGCTTAGCTACAACATCGCAGTAGATCTGTTTCTCCTCTGCTGCCAAGTCCCTGTTGCAAGCCTTCTCAAGAGCATGATTCACGTCAGACTTTCTAATAAAATTCAGGCACTTTGGAAGCTCTTTTTTAAAACCTATTCCCTTCTCTCAGCAAATGCAGTGGTATAGACTTAATGCTTTTTCTGGACTCACTGGTTCATATCCGAGTGGCACTCGAGCATAACCAGTTAGGCATGCAGTCACTGATGCATATGTACTCCCACACTGCCCTTGCTAACATGGATCCTGTCCTCAAAGCCTCTGACACAAATGAATTCAGGCACAGAGCTGCTGGCACAATCCATCTACACTGCACCTTTAATCACTTTTTATTTTCAACCTATTTTCTTTAAGAAACAGCCTTTGCACTAATCCTCAGGGGAAATATTTTGAGCCGAGGCTTCCTTCCTCAAAGTAGGACAATTTGTGTAAGAATCAGAAACAAGCTACATGCTCAGTACCTGTAGGCTTGGAAAATCTGTTGGCACAGAGATGAGGAAGACTAAATATAAGAACAGGCAGATGCTATTTCACCTGCCCCACCGAGCCTTGTGTCTTTATAGGTAAGCATTCTGGCTTACAGGGTACAGGCATAAGCCTGACCAGAAGTTTGAATTAAAGACAAAGACTATTACAGAGAGGGAAGAGGCAAAGAAAAAGTACTCAATATTTTGTTTGAGAAAAGAAGTGTTTTTCACAAAGCTTAATTCTGCTTGAAAAGAGATGCTGGAGTGCTGCTGATTTCCAGAAAGACACAATCCCCAAGACTGGTTGTAAATGAGTTTTCAGATATTGCCCCACATAATTCTAAAGCATAATTTGTCTCTGTCTTAGACACTAACAACCAGCCTTACAAATATTTTTTGGTATGAGGAAGGAGTCTGAGCAAAATCAGACAGCTTGCAGGCCATGGATAGCCTGGTATTCTATGAGCAGCTGCAGAAATAGGGATGGTGAGACCACACCCACAAAAACCCCTTTGCAGAGCGAGTAATTTCACTTCCACCTTAATGTCCCTCTTCTTCCTCAGCACCTGCACTTCCACCCCCTCTCCCCAGCCGAGCCCTCATGCCAGCTGACGAGCCTGCAGCTACCTGCTGGTGGCACGGAGGAGGACGTGGAGCCCAGGGTGCTGCTGCACACAATGTGTGTGGTACCCAGCAAGTGTCACCTGCTGTCCAGGTGCAGCCTCCTCCCACGGCCCCTCCTGCCTCACGCCATCCATGCGTGAAGGAGGACTTGTTATGTGGCCTGGCCCTGCCCATTATGTGGCCACATGCTTATCCTGACAGAAAATATGTCCACAGGATAAAATACAGGCTAGTGGGAAGGCTGCAGAGTGTCACTGCTGAAAAAGGGAAGAAGGATGAGTTTAATCTTGGTACCAGAGGAGCTGCAGGGAAAGGTTTGGGCTAGATGGGGCTCTAAATACTAGAATGAAAGTCAAGTAAATTCAGTGAATAAAGCACAGCCCAGAAAAGGACCTTTAAAATTATTTTCTTCAAAGCCTGGTGGCATAGTAAGGGATCAGCCTTCAGACACAGAAAAAGGCCCAAGAGGCATCTTGTTAGGAGAGAGTAAGGGGGCCATGGGACACCTGTCTCAGCACAAAAGCCAAACTGGCTTTTGCTGCCCCAGGAATGGGGACTGAGACTTTGAGCTGCATGAGTTGGCTGGTCCTCCTCCTGCCAGGACAGCAGAATACATGAAGGTGAAGAATGTTGCACCTCAGAATTGTGAGGGACCTCCTGATCTTCCTTCATGTTAGGATTGGCTTGATGGGTTTGGTTTCAGCATCTGTGAAATGAGGATTTACAGAGAATCACGTTGATACTGTTAGACTGCCTTATCACTTTTATTTTTATTTGTGTTCTCCCAGTAGAGAAGAGGCAGAATCCCATTGGGCTAATTATGCCACGTGCCAAGAACAAAGAGCTGGTGATTTGAGCTTGCTGCCTGTTGCGCAGAGTGGATACACTACACAAAACAGAGAAGCCCATGGAAACAATGCAGTGGCACTGGTCAGCAGAGCAAACAAACAGCAGCCACAGCATGCGAACGCCACACCATCTTCACAGTGCTGGAGGCACTGGGGCAAACAGGAGCTTAACGGGGTTTGGAGGGGGAACAATGTGCAGCCCGGGGTGATGTTTACAGGATTCACTGGGGCAGCGAAATAGCCCACTGGAAAAATCTTTCGGTGGGTCATCAGGCTTGCTTTCACTGGGCAGGGAGCCACAGCGTGCGTCTCGCAGCACCAGACAATCTGCGAGCGGCCTTAGAGGGCTTTAAGGGGTGTTTGTGAGTGCGCTTGTTGCACCTACCTGGCGGGCCAGGCAGGGGGCTCGCGGGAGGAGACGGCTCACGGCAAGTGCAGCGAGCAGGGCAAGGGCCCCAGCGCTGCCCGGCCACCTGCCCCAGGGAGCGGGCTGCCTTGGGCTCGGTGGGAGAGGAGGAGGCAGCGGCCGACGCCTCACAGGTGGGCACTGGGAAACTCAAGGCCCGGTGTGAGGAGCGAGCAGCACGGGCTTGGAGCGGGTATTGCCGGGCGCTGCAAGAGCCCACGGCCGCGGGCACTGCGGGCCCGGGCGAGGCGCCGGCTTGCGCACGGCCGAGGCCGGGCAGAGTCCGCCCCGGGGCCGGCTCAGCGCAGCCGCCGGCTCCGCCCCGGGGGCCACATCGGCGGAGGGGGGAGCGCTCTGCCGAGCTTAGCCGTGCCCAGCCCGCCGAGCGGAGCAGGTAGGCGCGCTGCGGCCCCCCGCCCCAGAGGGGCCGGGGAGCGGGGCGGCACGGGCAGGGGGGTGCGGGCCGGGACGGCGCAGACCGGGACTCCCTCCACGGCGCCCGGACACCCCGCTCCACTCGACCGGGGGGTCTCGGCGTGGCGGGACGGGGCCGTGACCGGCGGGGACTTCCCGGGGGTGTTGTTCGGGCCTTTCTGGTGGCCGGGGCGGGAGCCCCCAGTGCGGTTCGGCAGCCCCGCGGGGCCGGCAGCCCCGGGCACCCGCGCGCCCCTCCGGCGGGCTCCGTGCGGGCCGGGGGAGCCGCTCGGGGCGCCACTCCCCGCTGCTGGGCGCCCCCAGCGCGCCCCTCCACACTCGAGAGGGGGCTGAGCTGTGATCCCCTGGCGGAGCTGCTGTGCGACCTGAGACCGCGCCAGGTGCAGCGGACACGGTGCCCGCAGGAGCGGGTCCGGCTGGCCCGGCGGGCTGCTGCTGTGCGGGGATATCGGCCGAGTGCCTCTGCTGCCTGCCGATGAGACTGGGCATACAGCTGACTTCAGTCGGCTCTGTCTTGATTGATTTCCAAGATTATGGATTAGATGCTTCCGTAGCGATCTTACCCTATTACGACTACAGAAATCTGGTGCTGGCTCAGCCTGCTGTGTCCCTTTTTCCTTCCTTCCTTTTTAAGATCCCTGTGAGCAGTTCAGAGTAGCGCTTGCAGTTCAACAGCTGGATAGATGCTTTAAATGCGAATTGTATTTGCAATGTGACTGGTAACAAATCTGTTGATAAGGGGATAGCGGCTTTTTGCACTCCAGGCATGCGGATTCTGCCCCGGAGCATTAAAGCTGTGCTGTGAATGCTTTCACATGAAATGGAGTGTTTGGTACAAAAAAACAAGGAATCAACAACCCAAACCCAACCATTCTGGGTTCTAAATATTGGATTCAGTAAACTGTAAAGCTGGTTTAGGATAAAGCGTTCCTATGTATTGGACAAGCTCTGGCATATTGTGTATGAGATGAGAGCATGAAACTTACTAGTTGTGCAAGGGAGGGACAGTGTGCTATTGCAGTGCTCGCAGAGGCAGTGGCTGGGGAGAAGAGCTGCTCTTGGAGATCTCTGAGCTGCTGTTGAGGGTGGAGGTTCACAGGGATGAAACACATCCCACCACTTGTGAGGCCTCTGGTTGTTAGCTTCTGACAACACCCGTGTGCTTCTGTGCAAGCGAGGGTGAACACCTGGAGAGTGCTGTCTTGAAATCTGCCATCAGTGATACTTCCCCTCCATGGGTTTTTTGTTTTTTTTTTTTTTTTTTACTTGCTCGGACATCTTGGGCTTAAGAAAAATCCCCTTCAAGGCCTGAGATGTGAGCCTGCTGCTGTGAAGCTTGCTCACTGCATGGGAACTGTCAAGCAGAAGCCTGTGGTTAGAATAATTTTGGTGGACCACAAGGTCGAAGTGTAGAAACACTGCTCTGAAAATCTAGATGGAGGTGTCTAGTGAGAGGAGTATTCTCAGTAGTGTGCTGCTGTATGCTGATGTCAAGCATATGACAAACTGTAAAAATGACAAATTACTCTGCTCTTACTAAATACTTCATGAGCACTAAGTGGGAAGAAAGTGTTAATGAGGCAGAAGGGCACTGGGTGGTACAGTGAGTGACCTGTTCTGCAGTGTCACTGCAAGGGCATCAGAAGACCTGCCAGCGTTCCGTAGCAGAACTTCTTGCAACAGTGAGGTGGTTTTTAAAATTTACATTTGTTTTTGGTCTTTTGGTGGGAGCAGAACTCCTAGAGCTGCAGTTGTGCTTCTTTACCAAAAATATAAATTCCTTGGATGTTTTGCTCATGCTGGGCAGCCCACACAGGTGAGAGAAACCTTTGCCAACTGCTCTGCAAGCCTGTGTGTGGATTTGGAGTGGCTCAGAGGAGTGAGTAGCCTCACCTCACTCCTAACATTGTGTCATTTAGCACCCCTTTTAGAGAAGGATCTTGCTGCCAGAATATCTTTGGTTGGGGTAGCCTCTTTGGACCCAAACCCCTGTTTGGCTGCATTTCTCCATCCTTGTCAAGAGCTGTGGGGGCCACTGAGATGACATTATCATCCCCATGCTGCACGTCTAGGTGAAGTCTTGCCGTGTTTGTTCAGCTTCCTACCTGTGTGTGACAGAAATAGAGCAAGACACAAGCTGAGTGCCTGGAGAGAGCCCTCCCCGTTTGCAGTCTCTGTCCTGCTGCGTGGAAGCTCCTCCCTTAAGAGGATTTAGCAGCTTTAATGATGTGGCTCATCTGGACTCTCTTCATTACTGTTATTGTCTCTATTTTAGTTCTCGGGTGACAAGCAGGTGTAGTGTGACCTACAGCTGTAAGCTGGTGCAGGAAATGCTCTAACGAGGCCTTCCCACCGCTCCATGGAGGTTTTCTTGTCCCTGCTGCTCAAACTGCTCTGCTTCAAGCTCTTTGAAGTGCAAGGGGTAGTTTCGCATGAAATTTCCCATCTGACTGTAACCAGGGTCGGTTTTACCACTCTTCTGTCACTCTGTGTCCTGGTCTCATAGCTGTAGGGCAGTAAGGGTCTATTCAGGACTGCAGGTGTTCATCCAGTGGATGTTTAAGTCAGAGGGATGCAGGTGGGAGTTTTGAGACCTCTGGTAGCCACAGGCCCCAGGGCACTTTTCAAACCATGGCTGTGGTTCTTGGTGCCTGCTGGCATTGCTGCATCAGGAGGCACACAGCAAAGGCTAAAGCATTGCCACAAAGACCTCTGGGCACTGATGGGATAGGGTCTGTTATCGGAATGCCAGGGGGCTTGGATCATGCTGTATGAAGCAGTAATTACTGCTCCACTTTAATGGTGCCTGTGGCATGGCAGCCATCTTTTTCCTGGTCTGGTTTCCCTTGGCCAGTGAGTGGGAAGTGCTAGAGGGGGTGGGTTCTGTCGGGGCTCAGGCTCTGTTTGAGTAGCTTGGAAGGCTGGAGGAGGTAGCAGTTATTTCCAGTGGGCCTGTGTAACAAGGGGTGGTTGGAGCCACAGCCTTCTTGCGTTTACTCCTCAGTTTCCATTGTGGAAAAACTTACGTGCACCAAAGCTAACTTATTACTGCCAAGAATTATGGCACTCACCCTAGAGTGCCTTAACTTCACCTCTCTAAAATAGGAGCATGACATCTTTATCCCCTTCTTCTCTCCCCCTGCCTTCATTTGTCTCTGCACATGGATGGTGCCATCCAGAGTCCTGGAGTCCTTTTGTGCAGCAGAGGGGTAGCTGGGCCCTGCAGCCTACCCACCACCATGTGCTTGTCAGCTTTAATGGGCAAAGAAATAAACTGTGTCCTTGCACTAATGCATCTGTTGGAGGAATGTGGGATTGGAGCTTTCTACAGGCTACTGATTAATGACAGACGTGTGAAGGGATGGCTGAGTGTGCCACCTTTCCTTTAGAACTGTCTAATGAGATGCAATCATTACCTAACCACCTCTGTGTCTTTTTGGCTCTTCTGTATTCTTAGAGGGAATGAAATGGAGGAAAGGCTAAAAATTACAGGCTGTCTTGGCATGGTGAAAGGAATAATACAGGAGGCACAGTCAGCGCCAGCAGTTCCTTGACGGCTGGTTGGCTGTGGCACAGCCTGTTTGCTGAAAGCTCTCTGGGCTATCAGGGCCTGGAAACATTGAAGCAGTTAATGGCTGACTTCAGTCTAGATGGGGTGATAAGTGAAGCAAAGGAACTGTGTAGTGGAGATTGCTTAAATCACTTCTTGTGTGCACTCTCAGATTCAGAGCTAGCTAATTTTCTGGAAGAAGGATGAGGCATTACTATGAGCAGCTCTGCAGAAGGGACTGTCTGGCTGCTCAGAGGAGAAAAAGGGAATAAAACAGTAGCCTGTGGGGATGGGAACAGGGATTGGAGACTGCCAGCTCTGAACCCAACCAGGTGTCTTTTTGAACACAGGGAAGCTGTGTGGTTTGTGGCTCATCCAAAGTAAATACAGGAGAGAAAGGGGAGGAGACTAAGCTGGGGACAGGCTTTGTCCTGTGGGAAGAGGTGTGTGCACAAGCTGTCTGGCTGACTGATCTAGTTCTTTGTCTCCTTGGTGGAGCTTCAGAACTGGGACACCATCTACTGGGACACCACCATTTAAAAGCAAGTCAAACCAAAGTCCAGTGCATGTACTTAATATCTGAAAGTTACCGGTGTGATAAGTGCCCTGACTGTCTTTAAGGAGCTCAGGAGCTGAGAAGGACCAGAGGAAGAACCTTGCACAAAAGGCGAAGTAGTGGTGGAATTTGTTCAGGATGGTGCTAGGCTGCTGATTTTAGTTGCTTTGCAGCACAGCCTTGAGGCAGGTGCATCATGAAAGCGCTTTACCCTTTACTACACAATTGATACTGAGCTGTAAGCAGATTGCTGATCTCTTCCAGTATGATGATAATCCCATGGCCATGTGTGCTGGAGAAATGCTGATCTGGGACGAACTGTATACATTAGGATATCCAGCAGCCTGAAGATTTGAAGTTATATAATGGGGAGTTCCCTTTGTAGGCAAAACAAATCTTCTTCAGTCTCTCATATGCAAGCAAAAGAACAGATGAGCTGTCAGAGCTGCAGGCATGCACCTTGAGCTAAACTGGTCTTCCCACAGCTGGAGTTGGGAACTGCCCTTGGTCCCTCTTGTTCCCATTGTCAAGGAGGTAGTTTGGGAAAGGAAAGGAATTATCTCAGAGGGGTTTGCACAGCAGGTACTGAACATGCTGTAAAGTAGCTATACCTATTGGGAACGAAGGAGGCTGTGTCCCAGAGTTGTTCTGGAAAAGGGGTTACAGTCAGTGGATATTCTTCTCCAGCACCTTGCTTGGGTCACTGCCTCTGTGATCCATGAGGTTTCTGTGCCCTCGCCAGGAGGGTTCAAGGGACTGCAGAGGAATGTGATGCCTTCAGCTCCTGCCTCTACAGGAGAGGCTTCATGCAGCACCTTGTCTCTCTAGTTCTAAAAGTAAGCTGCTCCAGGAT